CATTTGTAACGGAGAGTGGTGAAAATCTTTCCGCAGCATTTTTAGTGGACAGTACTGTCATTTATCTGTTTCCTCTCCCTGTCGTGTATTTTAACTTTTGTTCAGATCCCGTTTAATCACACCTTTTGTTCTTCAGTCTTCTTCGTCTGAGCCTTTATTATGTGATTTTGATCAAAGACTTATCTTTTGTTACCTAGTTTTCTATTGCATGTTGCCGAACTATAGACAGTAAGGTCGTGTTTGACTAAGATCAAGGTCACGGCGTGATTCAGTGTGTGACTGTTAACCTTTTGACTATCTGCTTGGGAGGATTGTTAGAATCCTTGTAGACAGATATTTGATCCCATCTTGTTGGGAATATTTTATTGATTCTCAGGTATCAAACGCTTTAGTATTAACTGTTTCTTTTATTGCTTAGCGCGCTACTTTGCGTCAGAGAAACTTCTGACTGTATAGCACAGGCTGTACCGTTTGAGGTATATTGTATTTCTGATATAATTTGTTCTATTTCCTAAATTAGAACCTTTTAAATTGAGCACGGAGTTTGTGTTTTCATATAATTTAATACAAGTTTCTCACAGACGCTTTGTAAGCTATGCAGAAGAACGTAGTCTGGCCTATTCGATTACATTTTGGTTCGTCAGTCCTGCGTTCAAACCGAATACTGGCAGTTCGGTCGTTGCAAAATTGATGTTAAATTGTTTTATATAACAGGTAAAAACATAAAAATTACACCATTTCAGAATATTAAATATTTCCCAAACGTTGAATCTAATTATTACATTCAATAGATAAGATTATCAAATTGAATTTTATTAAAACTTCATTCAAAGATGATAATTCTACAATATAAAAATACTTTAGGGTATCATTCATAAGGTGAGTGGTCAAAAACGTATGTAGAGGGAAATGATTTCAATCACTTACGTATACTACTCATACTTTTAAACTCTGATAATTTAATGCAAATGAAAACTTTCTGTCAGCTATGTGAATTTTCACTTATTTGCTGAATAGGTTGAATAACATCTATTTTTTTACAAGTTCATATTTATTTCTTTGAATAAATAAGGAACAGAAAGTATATTGGAAAGCTTTCAAATAATGACATAACAAATTCTGTAATACTAAAATTTTGATTGATTGTTCAGTTGGCACAAATCAATAGTATCATTGATCGTCAGAATGATTTCAGTGATAACCTATTAGTATCAGCTTTGGAACTTATAAAACATGTCCAGTCTAGGTGGTTTAGCACCTGGCACGAGACTGGTAGGTCCTGGATTCGAATCTCGGGATGTGCACTGCTGAGGAGTTTCATACTAGGACGAAACGGCCGTCCAGTGCCTACAGGTTTTCCATGGTGTTCTAGCTTAAACTGACTCATGATTTCAACCAGTGAAACTGGTGAATATTAATAAAACTAATATTATATTACTAGACTACGTAATACGAATAATAACAACAGAATTAGTAAGTTAGTAACGAATTATAACGTGAAAGTAGTAAGATGACTAAAAGGTTTTATTACAATAATTACAGGTCATAGAGGTGTAAAAAATAGATAAAGTGATATGATGAATACTTATGGATAAAATAATGAGAATATGAGACATAAGTAAAGGGGGGATGCAGTAACAATAATGATAATTAAGGCCACAATAACGATAATGATAGGACATACTTCTATTGTACGCATAGTTCTCGCTTGAGCTCATGGATGGTAAGAGCTTAGACTCTTTTTAGGAGTTGGATATAAAGAAATCTAGGCAGATTTGAACGAACCGTATATACAACTTTAAAATCAAACTGTCGATTTGTAGAATGATAACAGTCGATTAGGTGTTCAAGTATAGAACACCCAATAGCTGTCCTCTCACACTTGTAGAATTCTTTAATGACCTTTAATTATTGTGACAAAACATTTTAGTCATCTTACTTTATTCACGTTATAATTCGTTACTAACTTACTAAATAAAACTAATAGCCGAGTATAAGATCTTGAACAATTCATCAAAGTCAATATAACCCTGTGAATACCAATTACACGTACAATTAATTATATTTAGAATTTAAACAACACAATTACCAAACAGGACTATATTCATCAAACATTTCAATAGTTAAAAATGAATTAAATTTTGTAAAACACAAAATGTCACTACCATATACGAATAACAGGAATGGAGCCAAAAATTTGTAAATACTTTAAAGCATACATTCTAAATATTATAAATCAATTTAATGTTTTAGAGAAAATCATATAAAGAACGTACATTTGAAGAATTCCATATGTAGAGGGAAATTTTAAGACATCAATGAGAAAATCAAAGTTATAAGATTATACCATTTGCTTAGAACACATTTTTAAAAACAAACTCAGCAAATAAAGCTACTGAATGACCTAATATGACTATTGCACTTACAACCTTTCGTAGTCAAATGTAATTGCTTCTGTTATCCTTATTCACAAATGTTTGTGTTATTTTTAATAGTTGAATTCACGAGTCAAATTGAAGCTAGACCACCATAAGAAACCTGGAGGCACTGGATGACCATTTCGTACTAGTATGGAACTCTTCTGCAGTGGGCATTCACGATCCCGCTCCGCGAAATTCGAACACAGAGCCTTTCAGTCTCGCGCACGAACGACTAACCTGTAGACCACTGAGCTGGCCGGCATCCAACGTTGTTAATGATTAACCTCAACCTATTATTATTATTACTGTTGGTTAAACATTATTATTAATCTCTCTTATACATAGTTCATTCACTCCCCATTCATCTCTCCTTATTACGTCTTACTAGTTTTTCACACAACATAGTCTTCAACTAAACATTTGATCGAATTGTAATTGCATTATTATTTCTCTCACTCTATCAGACCCATATTTATTCTGATCATGGATCTTAAAATTTCACTTAACATATATGCAGATCCTAGTTAACATTCTATATGAGTCACATCAACATTAACAATTTTATTCTATTTCGTTTGACAGTCCTAAATTCACATGCCTTAAACGATGTACTTTACCCTTAACGTGGCCATTTTTTAGGATTATTAATTTAAATATATAATCGTAGATTCTGACGAGAATTTATCGAAAAGAATATTCGTTCAAATATTAGTCTTTTAAATAAGGCTGAGTCCATTCTACTTGTAATCATGATGCCAAGAATCCTTTTTAGAATTAGAATTTATTGGAATTTATCGAATAACTTGCTCATCATACTTCGTTAAAATCTTTAAGCATTTAGTTTAATCAGATTAAGCAATGAGTATGAATGAAATTTCGTTTATTTTCTAATGGTTAAGTTCATGAGTCAATTGAAGCTAGACACCATGGAAAATCTGGAAGCAATGGACAGGTCTGTTGTGAGATAGTAACTCACTAAAGACAATGGTGAACGTGTCACTTGATTTCGTTGATTAGTTGAAGTTAGACACTAACACTGTTGGAAGCCGGCTCAATGGTCTAGAGGTTAAACATTCGTGCGTGTTATCGATAGGCCCTGGGTTCGAATCTCACAAGGCGGGATCGTGGATGCCCACTGCTGAATAGTTCCATACTAATAAGAAACGGCCATCCAGTGCTTTCAGGTTTCTTACGGTGGTCTAGCTTCAATTTGACTCATGAACTCAACCACCAAATTTCTATAATATTCACAAAATCCCTCTCTGATTATTTTTTTTAGTTAATAATTTCATATTGAATATTTATTCACAGTTCAATTACTGTGAAATTAATTGTATTATTTACTAGTATAATCCTTTTTTGTTTTGTATGATTGATATAAGTAGCAATTTTAAATTTTATTTTTGATTCAATGATTCTTCTATATGTTGGTAAGTTTCTTTATAGTTGAAATAATTTTGATTTCTAGTGTTTATCCGAATAATTAAGAGTTTTGATAAATAACACGTTCACTTTGAATAGGTTTTATTATTTATTCATAGAATTTTGATTACTCTCTATCGACATTTGTTTCAATATAGTGAATACTAGAATTGATAAATTGTACTAGGAATGATCCATCATAAATAGTTATCTCTAAAATTATCACAATTTATCTTATCTGCTGAGGAGTCCAATGCTAGGACGAAACGGCAGTCCAGTGCTTCCACATATGTCAATTGTCCCAAACTATACCTTCCTTCAATGTAAAATTCCAATATATATTTTGTTGTAAGCTGCAATTGAGGAACCACAAAATATAATGAATTCATATTATTGTGCATCAATGTTCGTTCTGGCTTTATTTAAATTGTTTTAACTTGACAAGAAAGAAGATATTAACAGTCATCAGAACATTGTTTTAACATCTTTTTTTCGAAATAAATGTTTTTGAAACCGTTTTTAGACTTTTAATTTATAGTAAAAGTACAAAATCTTGCGAGGTACCATTTAAATTCACAACTATTAAGTTGAATAACTGTGTGTAAGGTTTACATAGGGTAATGCATTGGACAAAAACAGAAAGGAAGTAACTGTAGCTTGACTTCGCTAATTATCCGCTTGTCAACGCTGTTTTATATGAGCGTATGTGTGTGCGCTTCTTATCCTACTCATCACATGTCAGTAACATATTTTCGTTCGACTGTAGATATTGATTAACGCTTGATTAAATTGAATTGGCTCATATACCTTTTTCACCGTGCGACATTTTTGCTTCGCTACGTTTCCCCGATTGTCTGTTCTGATCAACGATTGTACAAAATATACGTACTCAAATCTACATTCTTGTATTTGATTTATTTAATTTCGTTATTCACCAACGCGATTAAATTCGATAATTATATAGGAGGATAGCCAGAATATATATTTTGACAGCAACCATTTGATAACATATGTGTCTGATCTAACAGGAATCAAATATAGGGTCACTAAAACCTAATACGAACCAAGTCCTTTTCAACAAACTTCAAAAACAATCAATAAATGTTTCGTGCACTAATTTCAATTTCTTTTTGTTTTAAAAAAAGCGTTTTTGAAGATTTATTGTGTAAAATAAGACAAAAATGAATTAGATTCATTTTATTGTAAAAATAAAAAGATGATTAAACACATTATGCATATATATATATATATATATATATATATATATATATATATATATTTGATAAACTCATTCTTATCCATATTTCACTGTATCTATCTTTTGAGGATTGAACATTGTACAATGTAGTTCAGTTTTACAACATACAAAATGATGGATGTATTGCCAACAATGAAAAATCTAAAAAAAAGAAAACGTATGGTTGTCACTTATTGTCAAGAAATAAATAAGTAGGCTAAATAATTAAATTTTGAAAGAAAAATATTTTTGAATAATATAATTTATAAATTCTAAAATCGATTTTATACTTTCCAACGATGCTTTTATGGATTTTCATTTCATCAGATATGTATGTGTATTTATTAAATCTGGTTGGGGACAGCTCGGAACCAATCAGACGATTTGGACTTCGCAAATGACCTAGACACCATATCCATACACACGAACAAATGCAGATGAAGACAACCAGTGTAGAAACATCTTCTGCATCAATAGACCCCAACATACACAAAGGAAATAGCAAGATCCTCAAGTACAACAAGGATATCACCAATCCAACTACACTTGATGGGGAAACTCTGGAAAGTGTGGAATCTTTCATGCATCTGCGAAGCATCATCGATGAACAAGGAGAGTTGGATGCAGACATTATGGCGAGGATTAGTGAAGCAAAAGCCGTATTCCTACAGTTGAATAACATATGGAACTCAAAACAACTGTCAACCAATATCAAAGTCAGAATCTTCAATACGAACGTTGAAGCAGTTCTATTGTATATAGCTGAAACTTGGAGAACTGCTACAACCATCGTGAAGAACGTGCAAGTATTTATAAATAGTTGTCTACACAAGATACTCAATATCCTTTGACTGGATACCATCAGCAACAGCCTACTGTGGGAGAGGGCGAAGCAGGTCCGATCTGAAGAGGAAATTAGGAGAGGACGTTGGAAGTGAATAGAACATACATAATAGTAATCACCAAACTGCATCACGAGGCAAGCCGTTGCTTGGAATGATGAAGGGAAGCGGAGAAGTGGAAGAGCAAAGAACACATGACGTCGGGAAATAGAAGGAGATATGAAAAGGATAAATAACAAGTGGAAAGAGCTGTAAAGGATTGTCTAGAACATTGTTGGATGTAGAGTGCTGGTGAGTGGCCTATGCCCCTCCACAAGGAGTAACAGGCGTTAGTAAGTATGTATGTATATATACTTGGCAACTATGTGTTAAATTGTAACACATTAGAGTCTTTTGAAAAGAATTACCTATTTTCTATCTACGTTTTAAAGCTGTAACAAATACTTAACAGTAATCGATATAATTTTCAAAGTATGATCCAATAATTTAAAATAAATGAAATATGGAATAAACTTTTTAATAATAAAAAATATATTTCTTTTATTATTGTAACAAAAATTGAGTTTTTGACATTCAGTTAAAGTCACGTCCTAAGAGAATAAAAAACTTTCCAAGTTAACACAAGTTTACAATGTACAAAGAACAGATCGAATCAAATATTTAGTACATTCAAACAAATTCGATTATAATAATGCTATTATTCAGGTGAATTATGATTCTATGGAAGACATGTTTTTATTTATTAATGTGTATATATAACTGGGTACGAAACAAGTAATACTTGTGATCTGAACGAGTAGATTAATGTGTTGTTTTTTGTTATGTGATTCTGCTCAGTTTGAATGTGATCATCTAAAGAGATTGTCATGTTCGGTTGGTTAATAAGAGCTCTATTGATTACGGAATAATTTCATATTTCATGAGGCGTTTCAGCTATTTAGGTTTCTTTAAATTTCTGAAATCATTTTTTCATATTCATATTATCAATTTGATGGTTGTTTAATTTTTTATGTACTGCAACTGCTGATATGAGTTTTAGATTTAAATGGCTCTTTCGTGAAGATTAGAAGTATTTTCTACTCAAAATGTCATACTAAGAGTTTTGTAAATGAAATGTGTCGGTTATTCAGTCTAAAGCGTTTTGAAGTGTGTTGATTGTTTTACTTTTATTTTTTAAATCAACCTGAGATGATGATGTGGAATACTTGTAGCTCAGGATAAGAATATTGAAGTTATTGTGAACTAAAAATCACTACCTTTTTGTTGAAGATAAAAGTTACAATAAGTCAAAAAGGTCAAAAATTTCATCTTAATGCCTACTGGAATATTAAAAATATTTTGTTTTTATTATTATAAGTCAACTAAGTTATTCATCGAATGGTTGTTTATATCATTTCACAAGATGTTATGGAACGAATAATCAAGGAAATCAATCATTTACAAAGAAGGGCTTTTTAGTTATCATTCCTGGCACTGAAACATTTGCCCCTTTTATAATAGTTTAACAGTTGTTACCTTGGATTTTCAGCAGCCTAGATTTTGCTTTATTTCAGAGAACAGGATAGGTATATAGTCCTGCAGTTTTATTATCAGCGTAACTGTATCAAAGCGCACAAATCATTCCACCAGTTTCAAGAACACTTTGATATTGATCAAAACCAGATCGATAAACTTTATTTTTGATGTTAAATACGAGTTTAAATATCGTTACCTAAGTATTTTTGTGATGGAAGATCTACAAGGCATTTTGGGAAGCATTTTGACTGTAGGATAAATTGAAAATTATCAATTTATTATGATCTAGAAACTGAATCTTTATCTTTCAATTTCAAAATTGATCCTAACCGGTAAGACATTTGATAATTTAAGTAAGTGGAATAAATTGCAAAATTTTAAACAGCAGTATAATCCTATGCAATTGTACACAGTAATTTCGTGGGCATGTTCTACTGTAGTGAACAAGAACACGGGGGGGGGACAATTGAATGTATTTAATACAGAACCACAGGATTTGTTAATAAAATCTAGCAATCATAAAGTAAATGCTCAATTTGCAAAATGTCCATCAGTTGTCTCATAATGACTCAGACTTCATTGTTCTTGCATTTTCATACAAATTACATCCTATTTCCATTCTTTACTGTTCTAACCTCTTGTCTCTCTGCTGCCAGACGTTCTGTTCACGACTAACATCCTATACTACTTATGTCAATATAAGTAGCGCATATCACATTACTAGTCCAATTAGGCACACTTGTGTCTACTATTCATAGATTGTTATGGTTACCGAAGTGTAATAGAGAATTTAGGTTCTTTTACGATTTTCACTCCGGATTTTGATTCCATGCAGCTTTAATAACAGATGCGTGAATTGACTAAAAGTACAAAATGTTATACGCATTTTAATGATATTGTGGTAGATGCTACCCATAGGATTGTTTGTAAGTAGCATATAGCGGAATGTGTCATAGAACTTGCAACAAATGTCAGACGGCGTAATGAGTTTCACTGCATTGGAAGCGTGGCGTTCGCAGAACACTTGGAGATTAGACGAGATGGCAGAACACACAGAAAGATGAAAATGAACTATTAAAGGCTATTATATATATATATATATATATATATATATATATATATATATATTATATAGAGTAAATAGTTTGAATTTTTATTCACGATAAAAACGCATTCCTCTTGCTTATTGTCATGTTTTATAATATTATCATAAAACAGTTTAATTAGTCATTAATTTGACATATACTTATTCTACTTTGAATTAATTGGTTTAGGTTTGTCTGAAGACTAGATTGTTTGAATTTATAGTCATTTCATTAAATTCCAGTTTTTTTTCTTGTTTAGTAGTCGATAAGAACATACTTGTATATGTACATTTGATAGATCTCAGATACACTGTTCCAATTTTTCGTCTAGGCTGAGCTGCAAATTAAGATATTTGTAACTTCTATAGTTTCCATAATGACAAAGAAACATACAATTACATATTTTATTCTCATTGATATAAGGAATTATTACAAAATACTATCTTTTAGGGACATTTATCAGAAATTGGTTGAACAACACAGAGGTTAGGCTTTAGGTGTATGGAATTATTTTTGCGGTAATCACAATGACAGTTAAGTAATCCAACATTTCTCGCCGAAACCGACTTTTATCTACTTAAAAAAAACGAAATAATTTTAGATAAATATTTAAATTAGTAGAAATTTGTATAGTAAAAACGCTCAATGGAATAATTCTTATTAAAATCACAGAGGGGTTTCGTGGATATTGTTGTAATTTAATTGTTGGATTCATCAGCCAATTGAAGCTAGAACACCATGGAAAACCTGGAAGCACTGCACGGCCGTTTCCTGGAGTTCTAGTGAGAACCAGTGTCCAGTGGAGTTCAACCAGGTCTGTTGTGAGATAGTAACTCACTGAAGACAATGGTGGATTTGTCGCTCGATTTCGTGGATTAGTTGAAGTTAGACGTTAACACCGTTGGATGGCAGCCAGCTCAGTGGTCTAGTGATTAAGAGCTCGCGCACGTGACTGATAAGTCTTGAGTGGGAATCCCAGGAGGCGAGGTCGTGGATGCGCACAGCTGAGGAGTCCCATTGTAGGACGACACGGCAATACAGTGCTTCCAGGTTTTCCATGGTGGTCTAGCTTCAGTTCAACTATTAAACTTTTATTAAGAAAAATGCCACTGATCACAAAAACGTAGAATCAATAGATATCTGAATATAAATTCGAAAAGGTGAATCGTTAGTTGTAATGGGCAGTAAAATATCACAGTAAGTTCTTAACAGAATATAATCGTGTAAAGTAACTAGGGACCTGAATTACTGGCAAACTCAGAATGTATTAACGTCATAATCTTTTTAAAAATAATGACAGAAAATTATCCCGTTAATAGTGTAATATGAGAAGTTTATTGTCTACACGTTGTTGTATTTTATTGTCTGTGTTCACCTTAGTTACATGTTATGCCTACGTAGCTTATTACTTATACTTGGAAAACGAGGGACCATTGCAATTTCCACGACGTGAAGTAATTACACCAAGATTGGTACAAAGGAAGATTTATTCATCACAAAATACGATTACGAACCTAATCGAAAATACATTCGTTATACTTTGATTGTACATCCATTTTGAATATCAATTCGAATAAAATCACATATATGAGAAATGCCCAAAATTCTAAAAAATCATATGCTGAATATCATGCTGAACATATACTGAATAATCGTTACACTAAAGTAAATCAATGTTATACTAGGCAAAATATCTTACTGAAATTAAAACAAATATTACACTGAATAACTATCATATTTCAAATTCACCATTATCTTCAGTGAGTTACTATCTCACAACAGACCTGGTTGAACTCCACTGGTCATCTCTTCTCACTAGAACTCCAGGAATCGCCTCTTGAAGTCAATCACTATTGAACGGATGATTATTACCAGAAGAGGTTTTGTGGAAATTGTAGTAATTTCAATAGTTGAAATCATGAGTCAATTGAAGCTAGACCACCATGTCATATTGAGTTAAAAATGTAATTCATCCCGTAATATATTCTTTCACAAGAGTTAAATATTAATTTTAGTAAATTAATACATATAAACAAACATTGAAAAAAACGGTATATAAACAATAATCACTTTGTTGACATTCAAGATGTGATCATGTCAGTCAACTATTGTTCAACTTCTAAAAAAGGAAAACAATACATGTATATTAAATAAAACAAAAGTGTTCAAAAACAAGATTATTATTATTATTACTATTCAGAACAAAACAAAGCTTTAAATAAACGTTTAATATAGATAAACAATTTCTTTTTGTTATTACAAATGTGAAAAAGTTTTTTGTTGTTGTTTGTTTTTGAAAACAAACAAACGACAGATAGACATTGTTAAATAGTTACGTTTTTTAAACAAAAGAAAAATATGTTAGCTAGGTTGATAAAACCTATTCTATATTAATGTTTTGTATCATTCCTTCGAATTATATTTAAAAGCGCAACTTCGTGGGTTGTTTGGAGTTAGACATTAACAACGTTGGATGCCGGCTCAGGAGTCTAGTTGGTTAAGCGCCTGGCACGAGACTGATAGATCCTGGGTTCGAATCTCGCGTGGTGCGGAATCGTGGATGCGCACTGCTGAAGAGTCCTATGCTAGGAAGAAACGGCCGTCCAGTGCTTCCAGGTTTTCCATGGTGGTCTAGCTTTAATTGACTCATGATTTCAACAAGTGGAAAAAAATTAGTTAACAACCCAT